GAGCACTGTCCGACGAAATCCCCTTGCGAGGCGGTGGATGCGCGATGGCCCTGGCAGCTGGGCGCGCTCCCCAGGAAACGTCAGCCTCTTTCCCCCGGGAAGACACGGGCAGCCCCACGCCTACAGCTACCTACAAGGTCTTCCCGGCCCCCGCGGTGACCAGCAGCCGGATGGAGAAACGGCTGGGAAGACGTTTACCTTCGGGATCGGCCGCTCAAAGGCGGGTTTAGTCTAACTCGGAGCAGGGGCACCCTCATGCACCGCTTCTCTCTAGAGGGCACTGCGAGGTTGCTCCGGCCAGGGGGACCGCAGGAACCCCTTCCCCGAAGCGCCCAGCCCGAGTGCCCGCCGCGGGGCTCCTTCCCGCAGCGCTGCCGGCCGCTCCGCTCCGCTCCTTCCCGCACCGCGCCGGGCGCCCGCTCCCCGCCCAGACAAAGCCGGGCTGGCAGCCGCCGGCAGTCCGGCCCGCTCGCCAGCCTTACCTGAGTTACCATTTTCTTTTTCTCCATAAACCAAAATGGGGGAGCCCGACCGCAGGGGGGAGGGAGGGGGAAAAAAAAAAAAAAACAAAGAGGAAAAAAATAAAATAAAAAAAAATAAAATAAAAAAGCAGCAGCCCCGTGGAGGCGGGCGGCGGGTGCCTGCGCTGCGCTGCCTCGCCGGCGCGGTGCCCCCCGAGCCCTTTTTCCTCTCTTTCTTCTCCCGTGTTCCTCCCCTTCTTCCCCCTCCCTCCCCCCGCGCCGCCCCCCCGGCTCAGCCAGATGGCTGCGGGAAGCGCCGCCCCGAATGCCGAAGGTAATTAATGCGAGCCGGGACCGCCCCCGCCGCGCCCCGCCTCGCCCCGCCCGGCTGGGCTCGGCTCGGCACGGCCACCCCCCGCCCGCCCCCCGCGGCAGCGCCCGCAGCCCCGGCCAGGCGCTCCCTCGCCGGTCCGCCGGGATCCCACCACCACCCTGCGGGAACCGCGGGGCTCGGCGGGGGTGCAAACGCGAGCTAGAAACAAAAGCGAAGGTGGCCCCGCGGAGCGCCGGTCCCGGCCGGCAGGAACGCACGGTGTGCCCGCGCTTCTCCGCACCTACCATGCCTAGCGCCCAGGCCTCCACCACCTGGACCTCACCAGCCGGGAAGGAGCATCTCCCGGCTGGAGGATGCTGGGGAGACAGCTGTCAGTTTTGCACAGATCTCCCTCCTGCCACAAACGGGAGAACGCGTGGGTTACATATGTTGGATGAACCGGAAGCAGTATCCCTGCCAGGATCTGCATTTCTATCATCATAAAAACTGGAGACCGCTGGACTCCTTCCCAGCTTGCTTTTTTTCCTCCTATTTATCTTCAGCAAGCATCTGGCCCATAACACCTGAGCGCGCCACGGTTGGCAGCATCTGTTCTCCCGGCGACCCCGTAAAACAGAGCGATACACTGCTACCCCATTTGCCAGACGGGATCTGAGATGCTCTGATTGATTTTTCCCAATATTGCACCCGTGGAAACCCAAGGACAGGGCTGACTGCAGGTCTGCCAATCCCGCAGTTAGACAAGAAGGCTGTATTGATGCTCCAGTGCTCATGATGCAGAGATAAAACCAGCTCAGGCAAGTTGTCCCTCTGATGTATCTCTTCCTGACACCTGGTACTCAAGAGACTCCCCAGGCTTTAGCAGCAGAAAAGTCAAATTATGGTGCAGTAACACCTTGCATCCCCATGTGCTCTACTTTACATGAATAGGCCCAGTTATAATTTACACACTCAAGCTTCATGGGCTTCTGCTATGGTCCTGCTCTCCAGGCAGCCCGTGCTGACCCACAGTGCTTTTCAGTTTCCCTATTTCATTCCCTGCAAACTGACCTCTGGTTCCCTCCCTTCCTCCTTCCCTTCCCCCTTCTCTCCTCACTGAGTAAGAGGTGAGAGGGAGCAAGTGTCACAGCCCAGTCCCCTCCTCTGTCATGAAAAGCAGGAGACCAAGACACCAGAAGCCCTTACATCCCACCAGCGCATGGAGGTAGACAGCCACGGGCCAACTGCCCAACAAGACCAAACTATCGTTCTTCAGGAAAGAAGCCAGCCCCCATGGCTACAGCCTGCAGGCCTCTGAGTCAGAGTCCACATTTTTTCTGCTTTATCTCATCATCGCTGGTAACTTGTATCTTACTATACTACACAACATTCAATGTTGCAAAAACAGTGAAAGTATTGGATTTGTTTTTTCCTCCTCTATTACAAACCTGAGATTCTGGAGCACAGTTCTAGGCCAATTATAAATTCCATTTCAAAGCAGCAAAAAACAGAGTGACCTCCTTAAACCTTTGACATGACAAAGCACCAGGTTTCAGCATTGTACATCCCATTCATCAGACCTCTGCAAATGACTCAGGATAATCTCTTTATTCTCTCCACTTGGTAATTTAACTGTCGTGTTTACTCAGTTTCCTCTGTGCCACCAGGTAGCAACTTTTTGTCCCAGACCTGGGGTTGTAGCAGAGACCTTCAGGACAAAGGAATGACATGCTACCATCATTCTACCACTGTTAACCAGGATAGCATCATTTCCACTCCATTTGGCCTTCACCTGAGGAACCTCTAGGAATACTTGCCATCGAAAAGTCTCCTAAGGACACAGAGGTGCCCAACCGTGCACTGAACCCTCCCCTTGCATTGCCTCCCACCACCCAGTTGGTACAACTGCTTTGCTCATGTGCCAGCAGAGTGGGAATCCCCTTCAGTGTGATCTACTGCTGGTCTCTCTCTTTCATCTCCATTGTAGGCCAGAAAGCATCTCTTCCCCCGTGGCTTGGAATATATCCACCTTTGCTCCTGTTGAGCAAAAGAAAAGACCCAATTTCCAGAGGATGTGCTCAGCCAACAAGAAACACCGGCCTGCAGGAATTCCGATTGCTGCAAAACCAGCTGAAATGAACATCTGATAGAGAGTTTCAAAAGCTTCAAAAATACCATGCAAAACATGACCAGACTTGGCAACACTTGAGATCTTTGTTGTCTTGGGTTTTACTGGAACCCACAGAGCAACACCTGATAATGAACAAAACTGACAAAATTAATTGGTGAATCTGTGCAACTCACCTTTCCGCACTGAGAGCTGGAGGTTCAGGTGTTGTCTCAGCCATGCGGAATAAGTTTGGTGGGCCATCACTTAGCTTCTCCTACATGAGAATTATGGAACCACTCCTGAATTTACCATCACCATTTGCCACCCTCTGCTGAGCAAAACCAAAGACCCAAACTGGAGATCTTGGGGCTGAAAAGAACTGAGAAGCGCGAGGAGAGCTGGAGGCTGGGAGCCTGAAGAATACACAGCTCAGAGCCAGGAGATCAACCCTTCCTACTTACTGCATTTATTCAAAAAGCAATATATTCAGAATGGCTCTAGATACCAATACTTAGGAGTTCTTATGATTTCTTGTGCATCACAGGCACATACGTGTTGAAACTTCATTACTGTGCTGCAGAAGTAGCACTTTGAAATAACTGTGGGTAAATTTCACTAGTCTGCCTCTGCAGTGGCAGGGCACAGCTGATCATCCTCACCATGCCAGGCAAAGCTCATTGCTCCCACCTGAACATGCCTGTGACACTTTTATATTCTCTTCTGTGTTCACACAGATGTATATGATAGTTTTTGCTTAGCTCCTATAATTCAAATTCTAATGGAAAAGAAGCTGGAGAAGGATGTTTACACAGCAGGTGACAGGATGAGGCCACTGAAATCACACTGGTGAGAGCACAGGTGAAGAACTAACCACTAGTTCGACAAAGTGCACACTCTTAAATGCTTGGGTTAGTTTAACACTCGTAGGAATCATGGAAATGAGGAGGCCACAAATACTTTGCTTTCAGTGAGTTTCAGAGTTGTTTTCCTTTTTTTTTTTTTTTTTTGCTTTGCTTTTAATTCCCCTTTGCTGCTAAGGGTGGAAAGCAAGCACAGCCTTCAATTTTAACATCCCATTACCTGCATTTCTGTGCTGGCTCAAGTTTACATGGAGCAAATCTGCCAGCTGGACCAAGGCCAGAGGGAAGAAAAAGAGTTTCAAGTGCAAAGAAGCAATTTATCAGGAACAAATCTTAACAACCAAAAGACACACTTCTGCTGGTGGATTCTATTCATGTGCGTAATAAAACCCCCCGATACAAGGTAACCTAACAAAATACTCTTTAGTGGCTATCTGATGTATCTCAGGGTAGATAATCTTCAACTGCTAGTCTATGTTTCACATTTTCTGGATAAACTTGGTGCCTGTGAGGACAAGGAATGCTGACACTGAATAGCCAAGGACTGCCTAGAGAACATCATCTTTCACTTGGCTCCAAAAATATTTGAGCCTGACCCACAGCCTCTGGCTTCTCCAAGACTCCACACACTGGGCCAGCAAATCTCACGTATGCTCCAAATATAGCCCCCTCCCCCAGCAGAGGCTGCAATACGGGCTTCGCCCAGCCCTGAGCGCTGCTCACAAACCCACCCCTTCCTATCACCCTACACATCCTCTCTGGACCTCCAAAAGCAAAAAGGTGAAAAACAAGACTTTTATGGGGGTTTTCTGAGTGGTTTCTGAGGAGAGAGGAGGAGAATAGGTGAGAAGCTGTTCTGGGTGGCTCACCATCCCTGTGGGACAGGCTGCAGTCACACGCACAAGTCACATGCGCTCCGACAATGCAATAAGATACGCAACAACACAAGTTTGCAGAGCATAGCCTTGCTGTCAGCTCAACCCCTCTAGAAACAAACAAACAAAAAAGGCAAAAAATGCAAACTGAAATACAGAGATCTCATAGTTAAAATATCAAATGGTACCGCTTGCGTGCAGCAGTTTCAAAGCCCTCCGCAGAGTCTCCGGGCTGCTGAGGCCTGGGACACACCAACCCAACAAGCCCAGCTTGGAAGCAATGTCCTTCTACAAAACCAGCATGTAAGCTCCAGTTTTGTCCAAAGATCATATAAGGCAAACACCAAAACTCATTCAAGTTGCCACTGTCCTTTCGCTTACCTGGACAACTGGGTATTGGTAATCCATACAATACACACCATACATAGCCAAAGATCCTCCAGCTAAAGGCCAAATGGACACAGGACTGAAAGCTTCAAATCCAAGTCTCCGTCTTTCAGCCTTGTGGGAAGGACTCTGGCAGCCCTGCGCAGTGCTTGGCTCGGGCCTCTGGGGCCACTCAGGTTGACACTAGCTCAGCTGAAAATAAAAAGGAGCTGCCTGGCTCAACACAGCTCAGCCCCTCTCTTCTGGGATCCAGCGAGGCAGCGCTCAACCATAGGCGGCACAGGCTCCTAAAATTAGAAATCCCCTACTGAAAACGGCCCTGCAAGCCTTGACTGAGGAGTGTCCTGCGATTCCCAGGCAGCAAACAGAGCAACTGCCAGGAAGAGGGGGACACAGGATCTTCGCAGCCACTGCCGCCAAGGCTGGGAGGAAGCAAACAGCACTTAGGATCTGAAAAGAGCATATGTTCTGGGCTCTAGGTGCGTCACAGGGAACACTCCCAATCCAGGACAGGGAAAAACATATGGGACTGTTCCTCCCCCACTCCCATACCCTTCTTGCTGTCCTCGGCAGGGACAGGTGCTGGGATTAGCATAGTAAAACCCTTTGGTGTCAGGGAGGGAGGGAGAGGGGAGAAGCCACATTGACATCTCGAACTGAAGGGATCTCTTTCACAAGGGAGCATGTGCCTGTATCATTTAACGTTTCTGCCTCTCTCCCCACTTGAGGCAAGCAGGGACAGCTGCCGGAACTGGGGCTGGCGGGGGGAGCTGGGCCCTGGAATGGCCCCCACCACCCCAGCCTTGGGCCAATGGGTTGCCCCCTCAGCTGTTCCAGTCAAACTGGGGGCGGCAGGGGGAGGATTAACTCTGCCATGGGGGACGGTGAGCAGTGGGGAGAAGGGGGCAAGGCTGGGCCGGGCCAGTTGTTGTGCCCGTTTTAGGAAGCCCGTCCTCCTCATTCCCAGGGAGGAATCTGCTCCCTGACCGACGGGGACAGATGGGGAGCTGCCTGGCCAGCAGGCTCACCCCACCAGCCCCACATGCCGGCTACGTTACCAGACACCCGAGAGCCCGCTGCTGATTCTTTAAAGATACACCATGACCAGGGGGTGCTAAGTGGCCCTGACCTCCCATAGCAAATTGCACAAGGTTTCACCCATCACTGCACAAAACCACTGGCCCAAATCCGGGGTCCTAAAGAGTTATACCAGCCCAAACCCACAAAAGATTCCCACCTTCCTCCAACAGACAGCAGGGATAAAACCCCTCCCTCCAAGGTTTCAACATACAGGGATCAAACCCAAGAAGGGCTAGCCAAATTTCCCCTCCACACACCATTTTAAATGCATAAAGTCAGGGATTTTTTCACATTTCTAATCTTTACCTTTTCTGTAGTCCTGCTGTGCACCCCTAAACAGCTACCTCAGCTTACCTCTGGGGCAGCTGCCTTTCCATCACACTGTTAATTTCCTCCCCCTCAGAAAGAGTTAAGTTTAAGATTTACTTTTCTTCAAGAGGTTAAATATGTGGATCATTATCTAGCACAATTGACATGTGTGGATCTTTGTAATTTAGGTAAGGGATGTCTAATCCACAGCCCTCTGACCCACTCAGCCCAGCAGGACAACTCTTGGCTTGTCCTCTGCTCCCACTGTCCTTTCTTTCTCAGACGCCTCAGAAAAGGACAGCTATGAGCTGGGTGAGTGGTTACAGCAGCTGTCGCCCACTCTCATCATCTTTCTTACAGCAACAGGGCCACTTCTTCCTTACAAAAGGAGCATGACCGATTTGGGGAGTACAAGGCATGACATTTTCTACATCTAAAAAAAAAATAAAAAAAAGTTTCTATAGCCATTGTTTCTGTGTGAAGATTTGCACAGAGAAAGAAATTAATTGCCCATAAATGGGAAAGCAGCTATGCTTCTAGATCTCTTCACTGGGAAAAAAAGGATGAGGCTCCCACAATAAACTTCCATCTCATTCTGCTTTTGGTCAATTTGTTTTGCCCCGGACACAAACCAGCTTCCTGAAGCTCACATTATGCCTCTTTCTCCTCACCTTCAGAGGGCTGTTTGGCTACCTCTGAGCACTCCCCCCACATGCCCTGCTTCGGGGCACAGATAGCATCTGCTTTCCTCTGAAGGACCAATACTTCTTTATTTCCTTCTCCTTTCTGTAACTACATGCTCAAAAGGTGCCTACCCTTCATTCTTTTGCATAGCTCATTACTATGCACTCAAGCAATTGAGTATCTCCAATAAAATCTTTTTATGAAAAGGCATTAATTTATACAAACCCAGAGCCTTTTCCAGTAGCCTGTTTTTTGCTACTTCATATTACTGCCCCAGGTTTTAAAACTAAATCCCTAACTAAGTTAAAAACCTTACATTTGTTTCACAATCCAATTCTTGTCATTTCCAACCAGGCCTCGGGGGAATAAAATGTTTCCAAATCCTAGTGAAGATATCTTCCTATCTATAAATAACCATCAAATGGGCAAAACAAAAGAAGGAGGGAGAGCAACACCTAAGCTCCTCTGCTGTTTTAACTACAGATCCAGACAGAACTGCCATGCTTTAAAGTTTTTGATGTAGACTTAAATACTCTGCCTAACCAGCATTAAGATACTCAGGTGACATTTTGGTAACAAAGTATCACACCTCCTGTGTCCCACAGACAATTAAATGACAAAAACTAGTTTTAAACTCATATGTGCCAAGATGGATAGAACAGGACTTTACTGGCCAGCAGTAAACTACTGAATTTTCTGCAAGGCTGGTCACAAGGACTGGTTTACTACTGCACACTGACTTGCAACAAATATTAGTCAAATATAAGATGGCGCTGCACTCCATAATTCTGAGATAATGGTCCAACTACATTATCATACAACCTACTATGCTCATGCATTTCCAGTAACACAAGTTAGGTAACTTAGAAAATCATAGCCTTGTTCCTGCAGATACTTACACGTATGAATAATTTTAAAATTACAGAAATATGAAGACTGAAAAAGATCTCCTGACGCACAGAATCAGATCAACTGCTATCACACAACATCCTCTTAAGTTTCATAAAATGTATCACACTGTATCTTAGAACTGGGTTTTGCAGTTACACTACCCCAGCAAAAAGGCTGCTCTAGAACATCTGGGATCATCAGTGTTCTTTTCCAGCTTAATGCTATTCCTGAGCAATTTCTGTTTATTCTTTGTTCTTGTGCCAGTACTGTCCTCTAGCTTAGCTGTATTTTCTCCTTCCCTTACAATTAACCTTCCTCGTGTATCCCCTCTCTAACAATCCAAACAAGCAGCTGTTCCAGTCCTCTGTCACATGATAGGCTTGCTATTCCCCGACCTCCAGAAGCACTTTCTTGCACCTGATCTAGCCTACACTCCTTTTTCTTTTTTAAAGACATCACCCAGATCAACATTACCTCTGTTTCACAATTTCAGCACTAAATGGCATCTTCTCTAGTCTCATTAGTACTTTCCTTTGTAGCACCACATCAGATGGTGTAGAACCTGTCTACAGTAAGAGACATCATCCCATTAAGAAAAATGCACATTACCAAATTAAGAAAATTGGTTATCTTAAAAACAGATAGGCTGATAAGGCACACCCTGATTTTGATGGATTTGTGTTGCCTTTTATTGCATTTTTCATTTGTGTCCAAGCCTTTAATTAATATTGTTGTGTCAACATACAGCTGACTTTGGGCCAACAGGTCTGTATTTACTCAGATCATCCCCCACCAGCAGTAGGTCTATTGCGCTTTCTGTTCTCCGTACGTACAACAGCTCTGCTATTTGCAGCCTACATGCACTAACTAAGGTCTTTGAATGTCCAGCACAGTTGTGTCTATGGTAGGTTCATGCCCATTACCCATCTTGCCCTTGCTCCCATGACCAACTCTACTTACAACAACAAAGATTTGTTCCATTCTGTGACCACAAGAGCATCCTCATTAACTACCCTATCCTCAACACTAAGTGGCCCCACATTTTCCCTTCTCTCGAACTGTATTTTGAGAAACTGTCACCCATTTCCTTAGCAACATTTACAAGGTTTAATTCAGCCTGATTTTTGGCAGTTCTCATTTTATCCCTACTGACTTTAAAGGCACAGCAATCTCTGCTGATAAATTCTCTTTCGTAAATTTTTTTTCACCTAATAGCATTTATAAAGTTAGGCTGAAGTTTCTTCTTAGAAGGTTTTCCCCCTTTACATATACCATCAATAATTTGTATCCAAAGTGCCTCTAAAAACAAACAAAACAAAAAACCCCAACCAAACAATAAAAACCCCACCAAACCCAAACCGCACAATTCCAATTCTACATTCAAGGCTGTTTTCAATCCACCTCACTGACTTCATTAAACATATTGCTTCATGTATTAAAGCTTGTATGATGATCAGCCCATCCAAAGGTGGGGAGGTGGAGGCTTCTAAACAGCTTGTTTTCCTGTAATAGTCATAGCACTGATAATTCACTCACTGTGTCAACAACAGGTGATGATGTTACGGTGACAAAATTCTTTTGACCTGATGATTATTAGCAGCATTTGTTCTCCAAGCTATATCTGAGAAATTAAAGTTTCTCAGACTAATATTTATCTCTCTAATGGTACTGGGAATAATATCATTTCCGAGCCTCAAGTTTGTATCCGAGTCCAATCCTATGAGGGATTACAGCAGACTCACAGTACTCCCCCAGGACCTCTTTTACCATTCTTCCCCACAGCAATTTGACCAGAAACAGATCCTGCATTATCAGTATTAACTCTGCTTTCTTCTTTACAGTCTACTGCATACAATGCAGCCTATCACCTTTTACATCTACCCTATCTGAATCACACATAATCTTGAATGCATGTTAAAGCCATGATTACTATTCTTGCAGATTGATATTATCCCTATAATATCCAGTTTCATGTTCTGCACCAGTAGCTCTGATTCCTCTATTTGTTATTTCTAATGCCAGGAGCCTGAAAAAAACCCAACCCTGATATGTTTGTGCATTTATTGATCACACAGCTCCCAGCTACCTCAACTAACAGTATCACCCATCTAGTTACTGCTGAATTCTATTATTCTTTTCATAACATTGGATTTTATTTTTTGTATCTCCTACCTACCCATTCCTTTTTCTAGAGATACTGTTTTACATGCTACTGTAGCAGCATTTACCTAATTTTCCTTTTTCCGTGTACTAAGCAAGGCATGGAGATTACACGAGTTCTTCCAAATGTTCCCAAAACCCAGTATTTTCCTTCACATACACTGCTCTCTTTGATGTCTGCAGACTGAGGAACATTTTTGGAAAATGCAAGACCACAGCCCTGGGCTTTGCTTTGCCTGCTTTGTTCAGACTGCTTATAACAAGCATGCTAAGTCACAATTACAAGTACAACTACAAGAACATAATAT